AATATTCTCGTGAACAAACACCCTCCCCTCTATGCAGGCGGTTGGTAACCTGACGCGGGAAGCCCATTCGTGTGCCTTGGGGGACGCCTGTTTACAACATTGCTGGTGATGCTGGAGCACGAAAATGATTTACCAAGTTCGTATAACCTCTTTAAATAAGTTGCATGCCCTTGCATGACCTTGGAAGACTTAAATTTTTTTGAGTTAATATTATTTATTTCACTATAGAGAGATTTGCTAAATGAAATCAAAATTTATAATTCTATTTACGACCGTACCGCCATATGCTATTGTAATCGTTTTTCCCTTTCATTTCGTATTGAAATAATTTTTATTTTCATATTTCTTCGTCTCACCTTGACGACGACAATGTTGCCTTAGAATTTTTCAATAGCAAAACAAAATGCCAAGCTATGAATAATATTTAAAGACATAAATATAATATAAGTGTCGCGTGCAAAATACGTTTTCGGCCACAATTTTCGGAACCAGTCGAAGTTGTGAGTCATAATTATAAATATTATATTACATTATCCTTATTTTAAATGATGACTGCCTTAAAAATATGCAGCATATACTCATTTACAATAAAATTAAAAGAGAAAAGTTATAAAAATGCAGGATTCGGACCTTAATGGTCCAATGTATAATGTGTAATAATGCTTTAATAAAGCAATACTACTACTAATCCTAAATCTACTCCAAGAGCTGCTTAGTTAAGGTGACATTAACTTGTCGTGGTTTTGACACTAAACTTCAGTAGATGACACTAGAATATTCGCCCGGCGCCGCATGCTACACAATATTCTAGTTAATTTTATTATAGCCTAAAGTATAGCCAACACTAACAATTAAATACGCTTAAATATGGTAAAGGAAAGTAACTGTATAAATTGTCAGCCAAAATATTATGCCAAATACCATTATTATTAATATACTTATAGTTTAAATTTATTAACGTTCAAATAATTTTATTCGTAATACGTACTATATTCGACTACGTAAGAGCCGTGATAGCTCAGTGTCCGGGCGCTCGCCTTTAATTCAATATACTCGAGCAACCCGGGTTTGATCCCGGTGCCGGCACCATTGAAGTTTTTAATTTCAGCGGTGAAGGAAAACATCGTGAGGTAACCTCCATATTTTCGAAATAATAACAAAAAAATATTTCGAAGATATGTGAAGTCCGCTAAACCGCAGTGGGCCGCGTGGTGGACTATGCCCTGATACCCTCTGTACAGAGGAGGCCTTTGCCCAGCAGCGGGACATGTACAGGCTGTTACTTTACTTTTTACTTTACGTATTAGAAACAGATAATTATGTCATAATGAAACAAAGATTATCTGCAAAATCGCTAATATTTGGCTTATACAATATCATAAATAGCAATAAAAATGAAGCCACCCTAAACTCTACAGAGTCGTTTATTTCATTTTCAATGTGAGTAAATTTCGGCTTGATAAAATTTAAGTAAATATGATAGCCAAGGGGTAGTAAATATAGATGTATGTATACAAATTCAAGAATTATCTATTAGCAATTGTCGTCCAAAAACAAGCATTACTTACCGAGCCACACCTTGTCGAATAAACGAATTAGTAAGTTTCTAAGACATTTTTGAACGTGTCAAAATATAAATGCTTTAGTAACGACCCGTCGAGCATGTTGCGATGAAATAAAGAATCCGAATGGACCTTTCGCAACGGCCTATGGAGTGCCAATCGATCGTTACCGTTTACTGGCGGCAGGTCTGAATGTCATATGTGTAGAGGTGTGTTTGAATAATTGCCCAATTGTAAGAGGTACACGATATTTGACGTTTTAAAGAGCAATGTAACGCTAATAGGATGTTACGCGATCTCTTTACGAAGCTTAAAGTAAATGTCCTAAATAACTTAGTGAGACATCTTTCTTTACTCTAAGCTCTCCATTATACAATAAGATGACAGATGATATTTTATAGACGTGATTTGTACACTGACAAGTTTACGGATACTTAATAATTGTACCCGACCAAACTAATCTTGCAATTATAATAATATAATCTGGCGTACTGAGCCAATATCGGAACCGTAACAATCACAACTAAAAAATGCGTAAATAATACATTACAAAAGTATACAAGGAATTGCAAGAATATTATGTACGGAAAACACTCAAATAATTTTAGAAATACTTTTCAATGTATCCTTTACCTTTACCTTTTTCTCTATTTTATCCTTAAACACTTATTTTTATCCTAACAAAGATTTAATACTGTTAGCATTAAAAGCATTGACAAGAAACAGATAATCAACGATATCAGTTTCGTAACTGTTTTGAGCGGATAATGATAATGATGACAAGATGAAGATCTTACGAGTACTAAAGTGCCTTTTGAAAAGCAGTGTCTTTTTGTATGTTATTCAAAGCAAAATATAACAAACTATATCTTCCAACTACCTCTTGCTCTAATGTGTGAGCCAAGCCTTGCGCTATTTATAAAAATATAAGCTTAGTAGCAAAAGTCAATTAGAGCCGAGTAGAGAGTCATTAGAAGGTTCTTCAAACGTGATTACTCAATTAAGTTAAAGTTTTTTTTTATGTGAGGAGGCCAGTTATCTGACGTTTCACCTGATGTTAAGTAATCACCGCCGCTTACGGACATTTGCAACACACGTAGGTTTGCAGAGGCGTTGCCACCTTCAATAAAGTGGGCCCCTTGTACACAGACGAAACGCAGAAACATCACCCTTCTACTTCATGCCAGTCTTCTGTGAGGTCGTGGTACTTCCAGGACGGACCAGCCCATTCGTGCAACAGCCGAATCTGTTGCGTGGCCCTACCACAGTCGGCTCGAACGAAAGGAAATCAAAAAATGTTAATGTCCACAATTAGCTGCTTAGAATTCTAACATAGCATCGCGATCGCTCGAATAGAAAATTTTGAAACTTGAGATTATTGCAGATGATTAATATTAAAACATTTTATAACCATCGGTAGTACCATTAATATGACGGACGAAAGTTATCGTATCGCATTGGGATATTACTCAACGGTAATGCAATCGAATTAACAAGGTAACACATCTCGAATCCGGTGACGACCATGAAATTTTAACATCTTGTTCAGTGTCCATTGGAATCTTGGTTTGGCTTGTGTGGGTTACTGGATTGATGTGTAGTATTTTCGTGGAAAGCCATAATACTTCACATAATTTAACGTCATTTTAAAACGATTCGTCAACTTCAGGCAATTAAATATGTCGCAACTATACATAAATATCTCCGGTGTTAATAGCGTACCTTGCGGGACTCTTTTAATTGAATACTTATGTATATATAAGGTAAGGGCACTTCTCCATTTCACTTGAAACAGTAATGGTGTGTAGTTTTTATATGTGTGTAGGTTATTATCATTAAAAATGTTAAGTGATATTACGCAGAAATAGAAAAAGAAAATACATAATATAAACCAAACATTTTTATAACTGTCAACTGCTAAAATAATATGAAATTGATTTAAAGATCATAATGCACATAATTGAAATAACTTATTGCAATCACAAAAATACAATATTTGAACAGAACTTGAATGTACATCGGACTGATTATAAAGGTGACAAGTAAGTTCTTAAGTTTAGATCGGGCCTAAAACAAGTTATTCATATGTTAGCACCAATGAAACAAAATATCGTAGACATTTAGTAACTAAGCCTCCTATAAGTCGAAACATGACTAAAGACGCAAACATGACTACATATATCTTTACGCGTGATAGAAATAAATCAACAACCAACGCATACTGTTTCCCTATTGACAATATTGATTTGCTCAAAACACATACGGACGAAGGCAAAAAGCTAAGCCGCCTTTAATAGCGCGGATGTCTGCGACACAGTTGCATCATTGAAATATAATGCCATGCATCATTTACTTTTCTATTTGGACATAGCGCGATCGCGAGCAAATGACAATGTAATCACTAAAGAAAAATTCGTATGAGCTACGCTTAACGACAACGTTATGCAAAAGTAAAGAATTCCTTCGTAGAAGTGAAACGGAATAAACTAAAAAAACAGGCTATCAGCATCGAATCAAACAGCAAAGAGCTGAAAGAAAAACCTAAGAATAGCTTTAAACGTGAATATATATGATCTAATCGATTTGGGCATTCTTCAATAGCTGAATAGATTTTGTTTGTTAAAAATTTTGGGAAGGAAATGTTGCCTTTTCAAGGAAAGGCGATAAATAGAAAATCATTGAACTAGATACCCAATGCTAGTTAATGCGAAATATATGTAAAATTGCCGTTTGTAAAGAGGCCAAGAAATATTTATCAGCGATAAAGGGACCGCTGGAAAGTCGTTTGTGATAAGATTGTAGTATGAAGAAACTGTTTATTTTAAATTATTCATCATACACTTTTTGTAATAACAATTTGTAATATTGGCCAATCTATCACTGGTTCGTCTATCATAGTGTGTTTATCTTGTGTGAAAATCTGGCAGAGTAAATACGTTATAATCCGCCTTAAACAAATGATGCTCATTTGCAACTGTCTATATTGCACGATAGATTATGAAATTGCTTATAACACGATTTGGTCCTTATCTAAAATGTTTGGGAAGAGATTTCTCTTTCAACTTAATAGTAATCGATCGTAAACAATTTCAGTGTGAGCTATTCGTAAGTTGTCGCTGATTATGTCTCCGTACTTGGAAGTGAGTGTGTTTAGATGTTTTTTTACTAGTTTTATATGTAATATAAAAGGCCTGTCAAAAGTCAGGTGGAACGACGACTTGCGTAAGATCGCTGAAAGCAGCTGTACATTAAGGGTACATGATCTGATCATATGTTGTTTACTAGGACAGTTTTGCTAATCTCTGGTATGGGTACGGATGAGGCAAAGTAAGATTTTGTCTTTAATACAAAGTAGCATATAGTGCAGGAAATATGGTGTCATTGGGTGTAGCTAGATAGGACTACACCAATTTATCATTAAGTAAGTTTTAAACTCACCCTACAAAGAGCCACGCCAGTGTCAAGTCTGTCCAGGAAATTGTCAGCAGTGATCCTGAGCTCGGGGTACAGAAGCGTCAGCCATTCGGCGAGATCTTCCTTCATAGCATACAAGTACTCCTCGGAGGACTTGAAGGGCCTAAACGGCCGCGTCTCCAGGAGGAGGGCGCCTGCACACGCCATCGCTGTGACTTACTGGTTGGCTTTCAGTTGGACATTACAGGCTCTGTAAGAAAGAAAAGTATCGTGAGATATAAAAACAGTAAACCTTTCGAAGATTTGTGAAATCTACCCATCCGCAGACGGCTCACGTGGTGGGCTATACCCTAATACCTTCTGTACAGAGTAGGCCTTTGCCAGCAGTGAGACTTCTATAAACTGGTATTAACGTAACTGTAGTCATTTCGACTAATATGTTATCACAGTTAAGAAAACAGTTATTAGATATATAATGTCAAGAAATATTATAAGCACTGATTAATTAAAAGCGTGTTTCTAACGATTGTTTTCCATTAGGAATAAAATTTGACATGGAACAATTGTAACAAATAATACCATGTCATTACTTGGAATGACAGCCTATTTTTCTCCTGATAGGTACTGGCGTCTGATATCATCGTTCGGAATGCCACATTGGTTGGCCTTGGGAACGAAAAACATAAAGCCAAATCAGCCGGCATCAGCGATGTAAACCGTTATTTACTAAATATTGTGGATGTAACACTCAATTGAAAACATTGGTACAGATCATTAATTGAGCCTATTCTTTCATCAGACGCTCTATTATTAATTAAAAATGACTTTGAAATGTCTAGACTGTCTAAAAAATCAACCTAAACGTGATTGAGCGTCCAGTGAAGAAAATCGGACGACCACCCGTGCTTTAAGAGACAAGTATGAGCGTTATTCATAGCAATAACTTTTCCATCCATTTCTACCATCCCGCAGGATTTCGTGGTTATGAAAAACGTATGCGTATATATTTATGAAACCTCTTTATATCGATTTGATCGCCTTGCGATATAATTTAGTATCTATTGTTTGTTATTGATCAACGATCATCATGACTGTGTTATACAAACCATTCTAATGGTAAGCGGCCATGAAAGCTTTTTTGATTTTGCTACCGAATATTTTTAGGGACAATACAATATACGTTATTAGATTAGCTCTTTGTACGAATTTATACCGTTCATTTTTATTTTAATTAATACAATTTCTAATACTTTCTAACTTTCATGGTCAAGGGACACAATGAGACGTTAGGCGTACTCGTATGAATGTCATTGTTAACCCAGGCTACCGTCAATTTTTAGGTTATTAAGTGTCAACGATAAATCCGTAATAGTTCCATTTATTAATATGAAGTGTTTGTATATATAAGAGATTGTTACAACACAATTTACATTTTGTTACAACACTTAGGTATACAGAAAAATATTTAATGGGGCAAATGAGTAAGCGATTCTCTTAACAGAAAAAAATTCAGTTTTCTTTCGATACATTTACAGAGAACACTGGCTTACATTTAAAAATATTCTAACAGCTTTAATGGACACTGAATTAACGAAAGCCGAACATTGATTCGCCCTTGGTCTACAAAGAGACGTGATTTGACATGACATCCGTTTCCATTATAAACAGTGAACATTCATTAAAATTAATTAAAGATGCTGGTACAGATCTCTTTCACTTGACTATATTTTTATTTTTTCGTCAGGAAATGGCGAAAATCAAAGTTAACATAAGACTAAGAAAATTGAATGTTAATAGTATTATTCGATACAAAATTACATGTGAAGTTTCAAGTTAAAATCATAGTAATTGTTAAACCTGTGGTTTAACTCTAATTGCGGATTGAATCGTAACCAGCTGGTCGACAATTTGTAATTTCACGAATGGACGCCCACGCAAAGCAAGTAAACGAATAATCATTGTGATTGTATTGCGTAACGGGGTTTAATGGTCATAAAGACGGGTCGTCAACCCTTAGATCTGTCATCTGCTTTCAAATATTTAGAGCTTGCGGATGACTCTGGATCAATTGATCCATAAGTGATTAAAAACTTTCCAGGGGTTACCTAGGAGTCGTCATGTTTAATCCATGAGGAGTAATCTCCAGGAATGCTGGCCTGATCAACTCCATGTGTAAAGAACACAGGAAATGGACCATAAGACGTTTTGCGTCCTGGTTTTCATACTTCAATATGGTGATGACAATACAAACATGAATTACCTGATCGCCAAATTATATAAATAAAAATTGAATATTTTTTTAAACGAGCGCCTTAATCGATAATTCCTAATGAACGATAGTAAAAATTTAATTATTAATAAGCGACTTAAATTCGCCTGCACGGTTTACTCCTAGAAATTTACCGATGGCATAATATTTTAAGTCACTGCACCATTTTCATTTGTATACCATTTTGGCTCGATCCTGGGGTAATGAATCATATCTATCTTTCCTAGTTTCACATAATATCTAGAATCTGCTCCGTCTGCACCTGGAATTAGCATGTAATTGAAATGTTTGTGAATCAAGCAAGGGGAGAATTACTCCAAGTACGGGATGGAAAAGGAAGTTGATTTTACAACGGCAGCAAACGGATGGACAGAAATCTAGGCGGATCTGATCGCTATCACATTGATTCGCGTCACGCAATCTGCGATAATTGTATCATACGGAGCGTGACACTCGAGAATTTCTTTAATTGTTGTATTTGGATGATCGTTTTAACAAGTGCGATGAATAATAAATCCTTACCCCATGTCGGGTAGATGTAAACTATTTTTGTATAACAGGGCTTTAACTTTACCTCTGTTCTATCACATCTATTTCATCACAAATGAATCCATTAACTGTTTTAAATGCTCTTTTAACCTCTCTGCTGTTCCCATAATTTTTAAAAACGTCACGGACCCACCTATTAGCATTAGGGGAGTTTTCCTAAGGGATTCGTTCTTTCTTTGTTGATGCTTGAATAATCACAACTTTTCTATCTCTATCTTATTATTATCTGCTTACACCAAAGTAGTGAAAGTAGTAAAAAAAGCTATGTCTTTTTAGGCAAACAACTAAAAACTAAAACATCTTTATGCAGCACATAATACGTTGACCGCGTATAGTACTAAGACCTCAGTGTGACATGAGTAGACACTATTCCCAAGCTCAGCGCTTCTTATTTTCAATCATACACAAAAGTATCTTTCGTTAGTCGAATCAAAGTTATTCCCAGACGATTACGTCGTTTCGCTTAATCGAACGACGCGTGCAAAGGATGATCGCAACAAAAACCGCACTCGGAGGTCAATATCCTCACGACGGGTGTGTTTACTTGGCAGTCGACTTTATCAAGGAACTAACTCAAAGGAGCGGAATGGTGCCGTCGCTAATCTTCGCCTTGCTCATACCGAATGCCACTCGAATGACGTATAGTCGAGTCGCGGTTCATTATTCTACAATTATTTAATCCACCAGTTGGATTGGAACTTTTCAAGCTTCAAACGCGTTAAACGAGACGAATCGCAAATAGCCCACCACAGTGCAAACAAATTGGACATCACTAGCGGAGCGAATTAGTCTTCATAACATAATACCCACTACACTACATATACCCGTGGCTCCGCTCGAGTGGTGTCCCTACTTTACGTATGAAATGACCAAACTGTTCACCTACAGGTCAATCCCCACCGCCTATAGATGGACGTGACAAAACTGGGGATTTCCACTACGCTAGAGTCACGCAGCAGTTTCTGCTGTTGCACGAATGGGTAGGCTCTTCTGAGGAAGTACCGCGACCTCACAGATGACCGTCGTGAAGTAGAAGTCTTGTACTTTTGCCCTTTATCTGGTGAGAGAGTGCGGCTGGGGAATTGAAACTTAGTAACGTGCCAACCCCAAAGAAGGTGTGGTGAAGTCCATCGGCAGTGGGAATCGTTAAAAATTAAGTGAACGCCCTGCTCGCTTGCTAACTTCTCAAATAAAAAAGAGATTTGCAAAGGTTTTGCCCAAGTGTTATCGGTGGAATAACATTGGAGACCAACAAATCCATGCAGGTCGTGCCAGATGGAAATATTTCTCGTAACTATAATCATAAAATATATATCTATATAAATTGCCAGGTCGTGTGCTACCCAAACAGTGAACTTGCAAAGACAAACAGACTGAAGGACCGAGAGATGTTGTATCTGGCAAAATTTATAAATAATAGCAACATAGCGTAAACGGGAAATTGAAAAACAATTAGTATAACTGTAAAGTAAACAAATGTGATTAACAGTTATAAAATAATTATATAAATCCTACCACGTCACTGGCGAAATTAAGATGTGTCGTACCGTACTATTCCAAATGTTAAATTCCCATTAATTCCAACGCAGTTGTTGCAAATTCAATGCATATTTACCTTACGTCAAACATTTTTTTATTGGAGAAGGTGGCAAGTGAGAAGGGGGAAGGGGTTTGCCGGATTTTAAGTGACAACCGCCACCTGCCACATTGAATGGACATTTGCAACACGCGTAAGGTTGCAGATGCGTTGCCACCTTTTAATAAAGTGGGCCCCGGCTGACTCACTCACCAGACGGAACGCAGAAATACAACACTCCCACTTCACGCCGGTCTTCTGTGAAGTCGTGGCACTTCCCCGGACGGACCTGCCCATTCGTGCAACAGCGAACTGTTGCGTGGCCCTCTCCCTCTCCTGTGCAATTATTAATCCCATCTGATGGTGGGAACTGCCTTCTTGGTCTTATACTTCCACTTCGCTCTATTCGACGCGTCATCTTCGGTTAACTTGCAGGAACGTAGATCTTGTCTGACCACATATGTTGCGTGGCCCTACCACAGTAAATAATTACTTTAAAAAACTTTTAAGTTAAACGGTTTTATTTTATGTTTTTTTTTTTTTTTGTTAAATTTTTTTTTGTTAATATTGTATTGTCATCTAAATTAAATGTGTGTACCAAATTTCAGATCAATCTGACAACGGCAAGGTGCTTAAATTTCAATTTCTTTTTTTGACCCAAATAAATAAACAAAAAACAAATTCCGTACGGGTCGAGCTAAATAAAACCGTTTAAAAATACTCCCTTGAGTATTCAACAAGAAGAAATCCTACAGCACTGGAAATAGTACCAAGGGAATTAAATAGTACAAAAAACAAATAGTTATGTCCAAC